GCCAGGGCTGGGTTTGAACCCACCACCTCTGGCATATGGGGCTGGTGTCCTACTCCTTTGAGCCACAGGTGCCACCCGCTAATTCTCATTTTTTATGGTAGTAATGTTTCATAAAAACACTGTGAAACCATTAATCAATATGGAACCATTGCTCATAAGAGAAATACAGAATTAGGTTCCTTTGAACTCCAGTCACAACATTCCATCAACAGACCAACAGATGACATTGTTTTATGTGTTTCAATACACCTTATTTAATATATACTGATACTGTTGACTTACTGACATTAAACTCATGGCCAACAGCACTGGAGCTCATGCCCAAATGAAGCTAAGCTGTGTTTTCTCCATAAAACATAGCATGGCCTTCCAGCACTACCCTTGGGGGTCATTTTAAATCGCGAAATTACCCACAGAAAAGCAAAAACCTGTGCACAATATGGCACTACACGACCATGAAAAGAGTTCAGGTATGTCAGGGGAGCTGAAACAAGGAAGCAGAGCGTCTCCTCCTCCAGCCTCAGCTGGGAACTTGCACAGATGACTCAAACATTTCATCCCTCTGCGTGTGTCGGCAGATGACCACAAAACCATCAGGGCTATTGATTCCTATTACAAATAAATGTTGAAAGCAGTTGAATGTGCAAGCACAGAATCCATGAATTAGAGGGTTGCGTATACTTCTAACGGTTCTACAGCTCTTTAATTTTCTCTTTCTTTCTGCTCACTTATACAGGTGAGGGGCCGTGAGACCTATGAAATGCTGCTGAAGATCAAAGAGTCCCTGGAACTCATGCAATACCTCCCTCAGCACACAATCGAAACATATAGGCAGCAGCAGCAGCAGCAGCACCAGCACTTACTTCAGAAACAGTGAGTGCATCGACTCTCAGTGTGTCGTTTTAGGAAGCATGGTCAAGGGTGATTGCTGATTTGGGCAGTGATGATGTGGACAGAGGAGTACACTAGATTGCGACGAGCTGGTCTGGCTGTCTTTTTTCAGTTTCCTTATTTTTATGTATCTTATAAACTTTCCTTAGGAGTTCCTCCTGTGTTCTGAAATTGAATTCAAACCTTTTCTGGTGCATTACAAAAAAAACCTCACACTGAGTTAGTTCTCTTTTTCTCTGATCCATCCGTATCTAACTGAAAGACTTTTGAGCACACGTTCTGTTCAAGTAGTAATGTGTACATGTAAAAACAAAATCTTTGCCTGTCTCAATGGATTGTCTTTTAGCTCTTCTGGAATGCACACAATCCACTTTTGGGAATACCATTGTATAGCAAATAGGTTTTGCTGCAAAGTGACTTGAGTGACCTTATGCATACTTGCAGAAAATACCTGGGTATGGAAGGACAGGTAGTATCATGTTGCTGTACTTTAGCACCCTTGCTTAGATTGTCTTCTAGTAACACATTGTTACAGCAATTGATTTTGCAAGCATATTACCATATACTTAGGATCTATTTACATATTAAGTTTTACCTTGACTATTGGATCGCTAAGGATGTTGTTTTATGACTAATAAGAACAGAATGGTGCTTTATGAACGGATGAGAGGCTGGCCAATCAGGACTCTGTTTATATTTAACTTTCTGTGGTTAGGAATAATCACTTGTTAGCTTAATGAAGATATAATATGTGTGCTACAAGCATTTCCAGAGTCTCTGTAGATACAGTAAAATACATATACATTTCAAGCCTGTTTCAGTAATTCAAACATTCAACTTTTCTGTTCAGGCAAAAAAAGAAATGAAGTTAAAAACTGTTACCTGAGGCATAGATTATCTTTTACAACAAAAAGGCAAATGAGCAGTAAATACTAGATCTTTCCTGATGTGTTATGAGCTATTATAGGGAGTTAGCTATGGAAAATGTAATAAGGAAGGCTGGTTGTCCTCTTTTAATGAACACCAGTGCAGTGGAGGACGCTGGAATGCTCCCCCCTGCCAGGAGAGGCATCTTCTGAGCACCTGTTGGCTACAGGGTGGGGTGGACAGCAGACAGGGAGTAAAGGAGCATGCTCTCTCTTCAAAAGATGTTAACCTACTTCAGCATCTAAGACCCTTTTTAGCCAGACATGATCTTATCATTTACCTTTTAGCATGAAAATCTTGCAAAGTGTATTGTTTTATATGTAAAGCTGTACAGAAGGTTTAATCAAGTGGTTCAACTTGGGAACACAGAGTATTCCAAAGGAAAATTAGAACTCAAGTTTGTAGACACAGCTCCCATTGCCAATCATACGGATTCTTTGGAATATCAGATGGAAATAGACGTGAATATGTCTAAGTGCAAAACAATTTATCTTTTAGAAAATCATACAACAGGGATCAAAGAAACAGAGACCTATAACATCACATACAGGCCCAGAGATGACAAGTGCCTTCTCCAAGATGTGTATATTATAGTAGGAAGACATTTTCTCAAATCACCTGTTGTTCACTCTGGAAATGACTGACTCAGCCAAAATGGCCCTAGAAAAATTGCATAATAACAATATCAGCTAACTAGTTGCCCTGTGATACTGTTCCCTTTTTTTTTTTTTTTTCCAGTTGATAGGAAAACATCTGACCATCTAGCACAGGGATTGCCAACTTCTTTTTTCTGAAAAGCACCCGTAGTAAATATTTTAGGCTTTCTGGTCCAGATGGTCTCTTGTAACAACTCAGCTCTACAATTGCAGCACAAAAACAGTAATAGATAATGCATAAAGGACTGAGAGTGGCTGTTACAATAAAACTTTATTTATAGACCCGGAATTTGGAATTCCTATAATTTTCAGATGCCATGAAATGTTATTGTTCTTTTGATCCCCTCTGCCTATATTTAAAAATAAAACAATCATTCCTATTTATGGCCCCCTCCCTGTAGTTTGCCGCTCCCTCTAGTACATAAACGAGCAGCTTTTCTTTCATTGCTTTCTGAGGCTCATATTTTATTTGCAGTGTGCTTGTAATGTATATTCTTAGATAAAAAGCTATTTAAATGTTTTAAGAAATTCTGAAGTTATTTTTAGACTGACACTTAAGTATATGATAAACATGACATCAGCCTTTAACAGAGATCTCTTTTGCCTAAGAAAGGGAGGCATCCACCCATCCAAATATAAAATATTGTTAATGACGCTACCCCATTGTCTGAGAAGGCTGGAATAGTTGAATTGATTCAAACAATAAATTCTTGGTCAAGATTTGCCAGATGAAAGCGGGGTAAGGATAGAGATGAGAAAGAAGAGACCCACCACCTTCCCATAGTTTACAATTTAGTGGTTGATTCTTAACCAAAAACACCCTTTGAGTTTTAAGAAATCTTTAGAAATATATTCTCAGGTTTGTGTAAGTTAATAGGGCAAGTTTAAATAGCTTCTAGAGGTCATATAAGCAAAAGAACAGATAGTGTCATGTTGTGGAGACTTGACAAGCCAGGAGGATTGACATTTAGTACCTCAGAGACGTAGCTGTTTGTAGTTACTTACAGGGTAAACATAGCTCTACCTGTGTACGTGGTGAATTACCCAGCACTTATTCTCTCTGACTGGCTTGCATTGCTCTAAAGGAAAAATAAATTTATTATCCATATTTCATAAAACAATCTATTTTACCAACAAAGAAAATATATCTTAATATTGTGTTATTTTAGGAAATCTAAAAGATTTGAGGAACATATTTTCACATTTTTCCACATCTAGCCACAGATAAATAGTGAGGAATTAGCAGTTTCATAGTTCCCTGGCGTGTTCGTTTTTATGTATCCTATGCATGTTTTTGAGTGTATCTCACAGCTGTGGTAACTTGTGCATGGAAATCTAACAGACTGCAAAATTAAATCTTTGCAAAATATAGACATTTGGTCTAATTATGGCATTGTAATATTATATATACACAGGTCTCCAATGATTGATATGCATCTATATAAATTCTCCAGTTGCTTTATGCTTCAGCCGAGGGTTTTTTTTCTTTAAAGCTCTAATTTTCATGCAAATCTCCAAGAAAGAGCATAAATTCACTAGACAAAGAGAAATGGAAATCTAATTTCTTGGCAATCATTTGAAAAGAATAAATCAGCTTAGAAATTGCCAGTAATAGCCTGTGATTTTCTTTCCCAAAAACATAGTACCAATTTTCTGCTGGTAAGGGATCAATTTTTTACCTTTCGTTACAGTGCAGAGAAAATTAGAGGGAAGGGAGTCCCCCTTCTACAGGCGGCTGTCGAATGTTCTCAGTGTTATTACTTGTGTTAGATTCCCACTCTGCGCTTTCTTTCTGCTTGCTTTTCCTTTGTGCATGGTTTCTTCTTTTTAAAAAAGTTACTTTCCAGTTACCTTCATGATCATAGGCTTTATGGATGATGGAGTTTACAGAATTCCTGGGACTCAAATTGCTATGGACCCGAGTAGGCTTAATGCTGTTTTAGTTTACTTGTCTACATTGATATAAATGTAGGGAGGTGTGTTTCCAGGAGTCAGAATCAAATGTGGAGACAAACTGGGCATGGGCCAGATTCCTTTCCTTCCTAACATCAAGGGGCATTAACTCTTAAGTTAATTTTGCAGAAGCCACTTAGGACCCATATTTTTACTCTTTGGACCTCTGTGGTTCAGACCAGTACTGTGTTTTATCTTTTCTTTTTCATTTTTTCCCCTTCCATCCTGATCTAAGGCCAACATCACTTTCTCACAATTTTGTTCAGCCTAATGCTTGCTTTCCTCTGAAAAATGATATTTAATCCCTTGCAAGATAAATTTGATTCAAATTTTAAAATAAATTGTTGACCTCCTGAGGAGCCCTTAGCATTTGCTTCTCTGTTGCCATCACTTGAAGATTACGGCTTAACATAAATATAAGTCAGGGAATATTAGGACAGAGAAGGGTCTTCAAGATCACAGTTCCAGCCCCTCAACCCCAGCTCAGAGAAGGCCTAATGAGGCCTGATAAAACCACACCTGTGATTTTATAGCCAGTTCATAATAAAGCGAAGACTGGGATCAGATTGAGAGCACTAAGCTCTTTGCAAGGATTTGGGTTGCTTCATTAATTATGCAAGTTGTAATTATACAACTAAAGCAGCTATTCCATTTCTCCATCTCTGCTTTCAGTTAGTTGGTATTTATTCTTGCTGTTTGAGTTTAAAGTCCTATCTCTGTAAGCTCATTTGGGTATGGTTGTCTTCAAGAATATTGACATTTTTGCCCCTCAGAGGCATGTATCTGAAGGAGAAGCAAGGGATAATTCAGGCTTACCAATGGAGAAGATAGCAGCGGACCCAAACCCCCAAACTGAGGGATGCTATTAGCAACATATTAATATTTATAAGTTTGCAAAGAAATCTCCCGCATTTCCAGAAGAGTTGTTTAAAATTTCTAACTTCATAAGTTAAAAAAGAGGAAACTTGGCTATTTCACATGATTCAACTATAGTTATTCTGGAACTTTACAAGATTTTACTGTTTATAATGTTACCTTTGAAGTTTATAGTTGTGTTATAAAGTTTTAAAAGGTAGATATTTCTTAGTAATGAATTAGAAATAAAAGAAAACTTCAATAAACTTAGCTAGATTAAGTCAGTTTTCTAAGTTCTTATATTTCACTGCAGAACGAGGCTCGATTCTAGGTCTCAAAGTCTGAACCCCTGTAGTCCAAATACTTCCACCAAGGGTAGAAAGCTGGTTTGATATTTGTGTGTTGCCTCTCATTCCAGTCTGTACTTCCAGAGAAGACCCCCAACTTTAATTATTCAAGCAACAAATCAAAATTTTAGATGTTCCATTGGCAATAAGTTGACTCCCTACTAATTTGTATTCTGGCACATTCTGTTCAGATGATACCAATTCCTTCTGATGAGATGATATATTGACTCCTACCACTGACCAA